AATACTAATATAGTGCACATGTTTTGCAGGCGACGTACATATTTTAAGTTTTAAATTTTTATTGAATAGTAAAACTATGTTAATAAATAAAATTATATAATAAGATTGCTTAAAAATAAATGTATGAATTAATGATTATTGTGGAGTTATTGTAAGTGCATGTTTTTCTTATAATCATCGTCCAATGCTAATCTTTTTTAAATAAGTCCCCAAACCTAAAATTGTTCTTAAATAAAATTGCTAATTCTACAAGTTTTCTTAAATATGCCCCTCCAACTTGAAAGTTATTAACTTAACTCCAAATTAAGTAAGTTGTATTAATCTTTCTAGCTTTTTCTTGATGTTTTTTAGATTGTTACACTTAAAACCTGCAACATATTGCAACAGTTACTTCTCGTTATAATTATTTAGTAGGGTAAATTACACTAAACCCTTATGAACTTTTAAAGTTACACTAAACCCCTAATGACTTTTCTATTTTTAAAAAATCTCAATAACTTTCTAAATTTTGCGGATAACCCCTATAAATTAGAATCGAAAAATGGAATAAAAAAGCATTTTGAAAGTTATTGGGGGTTTGATGTAATTTACCTAAAATATAGTTGGGGATTTCTATAAAATTCATTAGGGGTTCAGGGTGATTTTTAAAAGTTCATAGAGTCTATTTACTACAAAATGCTGAAAGTTTATGAGGATTTATTGTAATTTACCTTATTTAATATAATAATTCTTAGTTCAAGTGATACTATTAAAATAAATATACTATCTATATACTATACAATATTTCTAAATTTGATTTTTTAATTATGCTCTTAAATAATTTAATACTATAGATATTTTATAAATTTTTATTATACTATCATTAACAATTAATAGTACTATTATTAATATTAAATAATTCTTTTGTGAAAAGGTTAGTTTTTAATCATTTCCAAGTATAGATTATTCAGTATCATGTAATAATTTTTGAGAAAATACTATAAAAATAATATTAAATTATTTATTTAATTTATAATATTCTATTAATTATTTAATTATAATTCATATATAATTTTGTAATAATTTAATTGGTTACTATTAATAATTGCTTATACTTATTTTATAAAATATTTTTCTATTATTTTTAAATAATTAATAGTTATAATATTATTGATAATTATAATTATTTAGGAAGGTGAGAAGGTGCATAATTAATAAGAGGTTATATTTATTCAAAGAAAAAATAATTAGAGATAATGACATAGTTAGAATTTATCAAAATTTGAGAGAGCGAAAAGAGGTTTTAACACCCCAATCCTCTTTTTATAGTGTACACACACGTATATGTATATGTATGTATGTATATATGTATGTGTGTATATCATTTGGATAAGTTACATTAAACCCTGAAAAACCTTCAAAATGCCTTTTATTCTTGTTTTTTTGTTCAAATTTATGGGGGTTATCTGTAACCAGAAAACTTATTGTAGGTTTTCTAAAATTCCAAAAGTTATTAACGGTTTATTGCGCTTTTAAAAATTATTGGGGATTTATTGCAAAATGCTAAAAGTTCTTGAGGATATAGTGCAATTTAGCCTTGCATCAAATATATAAACTAATAGACTTCAGAGCTATCATATAAGTACATAATAGCATTGTTAAAGTTATCCTTAAGATATGCAAACTCTAAGATCACATATGTAATTACACTATTCTTCAGGGTAGAATGTAGCTAATCCAATATTTGAATCATAACTCAGATTAGATCCGAGTCAGATTTAGGATAGAACCACCACCAATCCTATATTAGCTTAACTTGTGTTAAGACTATGATATTTGGATTTTGATTTAAATAGGTGTCCAATTCTTTCTAAAAATTTGGATCGAAGGTTAAGATCTAATTCGTGAGTAGAAAATTAAATTCAACGTTTGAGATTCAACCCTACTTATTGCTATAATTTGTTTTAAGGAAGAAATAGGATTTTGAAATCTCTATCCAATATCTTTATTGAGATGGCCACTATAAAAGGTAAGAATCCGCTATCTTCTAAAATTGCCTCACGTAAACCTTTTATCTTGTAAAGTTCTATTTGAGGGACAATTGAAATAATTCTCTCTAGCTGTTAATTTTTGTGCTTCCATGAATTCTCAGAAATTAAAATCCGAAAGGGAAAAATAAGGAGAACCTATAATTAGACGACAATTTTACAGTTGTAGCATGCAATTTTATAGTTGTAGTTATTGATGATTATTTTGGAGTATCATTTTTTTTCCTGAACTGATATTAGAAATATGATATGTCTCTATGACTAACCATTGATCTTGATTCAAATTTCAAAAAATTGATGTATTAATTTGAGAAGTACCTTGGCCTTCCCATGAAAAGAGGATCCCTCTCTAGGGCTGACTGGCAACCTCTGCTCGACAATCTTCACCGTAAGCTTTTCATATGGAAGAGTAAACAGCTTTCCATTGGGGGAAGACTGGTTCTTCTCAAATCTATCCTCTCCTCCATCCCCCTTTACTTCATGTCCTTCTTCAAACTCCCATGTTGGCTCATCAAGAAGATTGATAAAATCAGACGTGATTTCCTTTGGGGAGGTGCTAATGCTAACTCCAAATCCACACACCCTGTCAGTTGGGACATAGTTTGTTCTCCTAAAGCCTGTGGGGGCTTGGGGTCTCCAACCTCCATTCATTCAACATCTCCCTCCTGTCTAAATGGCTTTGGAATTTCCTTGACAATAACAACCACGTAGGCCAAGTTCTCCAATCCATCTATAACTCCAACCTGCACAACCCCTCTCACGGGTGTCAGAGCTCTAAATTCTGGAAAGATGTCACCTCCTGCTACCAATTTTTCTTTGGATTAGTCAAATGGGAACTAGGTAAAGGTACTAGGATTCTCTTCTGGGAAGACAAATGGTTAGGAGACAACTCCCTTGCTAGCTTATTCCCCAAGGCCTATCTCCTAGTCTTCTCCAAATTCATTCCAGCAGAGTCCCAAGGGAGATCTGTGGGGGGGAGATGGTTGTGGAGACCAATCCTTAGGCGTCCAACATCTGATATCGACAGAAGTCAAGTCCAAGCTCTCATCCAACTCCTACATGACTCTAATCTTGCTCCTTCTTCATCTGCTGACAGACCTTCGTGGCAACTTCCAGCTTCCAAGTCTTTCACTGTTAGATCCATGTACAGATTCATCATGGATAGAGGTCACCGCTACCCATATAATGTTGTTGTATGGAATAAGCTTCTGCCTAGCAAAGTGCGGTTGTTTACTTGGATTTTTAGTCTTAACAGATTGAAAACTAAAGATAGATTAGTAGCTCAGGGTTGGCTGGCAGACACCAACTGCCCCTTCTGTGATGACCATGAGTCCCACGACCATCTTTTCCTCTCATGCAACTTCTCCAAGCAGATCTGGGTTCCATGCCTATCTAAAATTGGTATTGTCTCTCTCCCCACAAGCATCAACCACTGTCTCTCTATCTGTTCTGACAAGTCCCTCCACTCATCCGTTAGACTTCTATGGGGCTTCAGTTTTCCTACGGTTTGTTGGATCATTTGGAAAGCTAGAAATGACTTCATCTTCTCTAATCAGTCTTCTACGCCTCACCATATCATCAACAAGGCGGTTCACTTTCTTCTTTTCTGGACAGGTGCCTCCTCTTCCAAGAAAGCTAGTAAGTTGAACAAGGTCATCTTCAGCTCGGGGCTCCCCGATATTGCAGAATCAAGTGCAGATAGCAATGGTCTTCCTATCCCTCATGGGTAGTGGCCTCCTTGTTAGCAGTTCTTTTCATTTTTGTTTTTTCAGATTCAGATCTGGTTATACCCTGCTTTTTATAGTTTCTGTTAGATGTTTTGTTTTGGATCTCTTCATAGAGACATCTTTTGGTGATTTGGTCTAATACCCTCCAACTCGGAGTCTCGGGCCAAATCACAATCAGATATCTTTTGTAAAAACTATCTTTTTGGTTTATATATACATGATAGGGCAGTATGCCTTATTTTCATTCAAAAAAAAAAAAAACTTGTTCCCCAGTTGATTTCATATATTTTGGGTCAAAAAGAAACACTCTTTTGCAGAGCGGTTAACAATTACATTTAATGGTTTCAGTGAGACAAACAACTAGTATGATACTAAAATGTCTCGTCACTACAACTTGTAGCTGCAACCCTTGCAATCTATTCCTCTATAATAATGGGAGGACCCAAGGATCACTATTCATACTACAGTAATACTATAATACTTTACTGTAGCGTTATTACCGTATCATTTTGGAAGAAATATTACCATTGCATAGGCGGGATACCGCAGTGTTTTATAAAAATCACTGCATCAATTAAAAATTACTGTAGCAAAGCGGAAATACTTTTAAAAATATTGCTGTAGCATTTAAAAAACATACTATAGCAATTAAAAACGGGATTACTGCAGCGATAAAAAAAGGAAAAGACGTACTTCGCATGAGGTGCACACTAGTTACAATTAACTACAAGTCCCTTTGGCAGTGGAGATGTCACCTCTTCAATTGTAACTTTTTGGTAATATTTGAACATTCTTTAGTTTATTATAAATATAATTGGCACTATGGACAGTAATGATTAATTATAATTGAGAAAGTAATTCCTTAGTGTCAAAATGTAATTGAAAGGATTCTAATCCAAGAGGGAGATGGGTCACCTACTTACACAGTTACACTTTATACTTTTGTTAATGCTCTTAATATATTGTCATGCTCTGAGTGAGAGTTTGTGAGCTTTCAAAATTACATGATGGAAAGAGAGATCCCATGGTTGTTTCTTTGAGGGGTGGCGTTGAAAGTTATCAACGACTTTCAAAATTACACTAAATTCCCGATATGTTTCATCATTTTGTAATAAGCCCCCCGATAACTTTCAAAATCGCATTAAACCCCAATAACGTTTGCAAGAAATCCTCAATACCTTTTCGGCAAATTACAATAATCCCCCAATAACTTTCAAAAATGCCTCTTTTCTTGTATTTTTTTCTAATTTATGGGGGTTATATGCAAAAGTTAAAAACTTTTTGGGGGCCTACTACAATTCCGAAAGTTGTTGAGGATTTATTGTGATTTTGAAAGTTATTGGCGGTTTACTACACAACGCTGAAAGTTTTCAAGGGTTTAGCCTAGTTTACCCTTGCATCAAATATATAATAATTAACAGGGTAGCTGGATGTAATTACATAAATATTCTGAAAGTTATCCATTTAGGCACACATACTCCAAAATCATCCGTGTAATTACGTTGTTATTCAGCGTAGCTGAATGTAATTAATCCAATGTTTAACGGAGTGCATAAAACTATTGTATGTGGACTCATATCCGTCTTGAATCCAACACAATTTCAGATCCGAGCCAGATTCAGAACCGAACCACGCCCACCAACCCTATATTAGCTTAACGTGGGCTAAGACACTAAAAATTTTGATTTAAATAAGATCCAATTCTTTCTAAAGTTTTGGATCAAAGGTCAAGATCTAGTTCGCAAGGAGAAAATTAGATCAGACGGTTGGGATTCAACCCTAATTGTCACCATACTTGGTTTTAAAGAAGAAATCTCTACGGATTTAATATCTCTATACAGTATCTTTATTTTGGGTCAATGAAAAAGTTCTCAGACAACAAATGATCAATGACAATTAACCATCAATTCATTTAAAATACCAAAAAAAAAAAAAAAAAATCTCTCTTCTAAGATTTCCTATAATAACTCCGGCATTGTGAAGAATTGACCTTCGCATCCTCACTCAATCTATCAACACTCAAACGGCAATTGACATAAAAATCCTTTATCTTCGTCTCGATCAACCATACTCCTACTCTCGCTTTGACTTGCATCTCCACATCAAACACCGCTCCTCTATCCCTCCCTTCCACCAACTCATCACGTACGGGACTACTGATACCATACAAATAGGCGGACGTCGCCGCCGTGCTAACTCCACGTGCGCGAAGATATACGGGCGAGAAAACGCCTCCGCCCACGGGGCGAGACGCATGCCGTATCGTGTACTGCCCGTCGACAAGGCGAAAACGGAACTTATTGGGGTTTGAGATGTTGACTGTAACCGGACCTTCGAACTGGTCCACTTCATCCCCGAAGGCAATATGGAAAGACTGAAAGTAGAAGAGCGGGAGGGTGGAGTCATTTAAAAATGAGAGGGCGGCAGCGGCGACGCCCATTAGTATGAGGGTGAACCCGACGATGCAGAGGAGGAAGAGGCGGCGGCGTTTGGCAAGTTGCGGATGGGCTCGTCGGGTGGCGATTCAATGTCGTTTGCCCCGTTCGAGCCGTACGGGGGCTTGCCATTGATGAAAAAAAAATGAAAGAAAAAGGAGAAAGAAATAGAAGATGCGAGGAGGAAGGGAAAATACGCGAGAGAGAGTGGGCAATAATCTGAAATTTTCTAGAGTTATCATGGTGCTCCTTTCATAGGGGAAAAAGTGATCTAAATATAGTTAGTTTTGTTTTGTTGAATACTAGTAGGATTTACTATGCCATATCTCTTTGCGCAAGTGAATTGAACTTTTGTGACTTATTAGTGAAGTTTTTTTTAACTAGTAAGTTTCTTTTTTGCGAGAAAAAAATTGGGGTAAATTTTTTTTATTTTTAATTTTACAATTTTTTACTGAAAGGTAAGGTTTGTGTAACTCGTCCCCAAGAGGGATTTTCGTGAAATTACTCAAGTGCAATGTGTATTCATAACTAACCGGGGATTGTTTTTGCTCTTTGGGTTTTTGATACTAATCCCCAAATCTTTAATATTTTAAAGTTTATCCCCAATCATCATGTTTTTAAACGAGTCCCCAAACTTCAAATATTTCATAATTAGGCCATCAAATCTTCATATTTTGAAATCAGTCCCCCTAAACGTGCTAATTGTTTTAAAATTAATTATCCAAATCTTTCAACCTAGTGCCAGGGGTGCGCTAACGGTCAGTTCGGTCGGATTTGAGTAATTTTTGACAAAACCGAACCGAACCATTCTATATTCAAAACCAAACTATACCGACTGATATTAGTGGGGTCAATTCGATTCGGTTCGGTTGTTTTAGTTTTGGATTGGACTATTTAATTACGACAAAAGCCTATTTTGATCCAAAAGAAGGAAAATTTCAAGAGATCAGTGCAAAAAAAAAGGGTTTTAGGGGATAAAAAAAAGATGCAAATTAATTGAATTAATTAAAAAATTAGTATAAAAGAGAAGGAATTTGGTAAGGAATAGTATGTTTTTGACAGTTATAAAGTGGTTGGTTCAATTAGTTCGGTTTGAAAAATTTTCAAACTAAACTGATCGACACATATTCTATAACCAAACCAAACTACCGAAATGTGATCGATTCAGACTGTTTAATTAGTTTTAACTAATTAACGCTCATCCCTACTTAGTGCTAAGTAGAGGGACCAATTTCAAAACGCTTAAAAGATCCGAGGAATTAATTTCAAACTATGAAGAACTGCAGGATTAATTTCAAAATATGAAGATAGAGGGACTAGTTCCAAAATATTAAAGATTTGGATTTGGAGGACTAATACCAAAAAAACCTTCTTCTCTTTGAATCCGACCTACGTTAATGGGCAACTATGTCTTTTCTGTTAAGGAAAGTGCACACAGAATACACAATGGCAAGCAGAAGCAAAATATTCACACTTTCCCAATTTTGTTGTCAGATGGGAAAATTCAACCAATCTTAAATCAGATAAATATGGACAGTAACAAAGCAAGTATTAACAGCCCAGAAATGATAAATAAAGCACACCAGGATTTACGTGGAAACCCCAATGAGGGGAGAAAACCACGGGACCGGAGACCGGTACCAAACTCTTCCACTAATCACCAGTAAAATAAGTGGGTACACCAATTGTCTTCTCTAGATAATAGAGGCACATATAATCATCAAGGAACAACCTTGGAACAACAAATCTCCATAAACTTCACTCACAAGTGATAATCAACTAATTTTATGAAGATTAGGGCTGAAAATAAAATACCGACTTTGGAAGCTTGAAATGACAATCCAACCGTTGGATATGAAGCTTGGGATGACAGGAACAATGTGTCAAAATTTGGCTGCAATCAGAGCACGTTTGACCCTCGATCAAGCGGCAACACTAGAGCTGCTCCAAGAAGAAAATCAGCCTCAAACTCTCTTTTTGCTCTCTGTTTTTTTTTTCGTGTGTCTTCTGCACTTTCCCAGAAGCTTCCAGCAGGTCCTTTTTATTCAACTCAGTCCCTTACAACTCCTTGTTGGGTCATAACAAATTATAACATATATGGGCCCAAGACACAAGTAACCCCATATGAAAAAAAAACAACACAATGCAAATAGCCCATATTAAAATAATGGGCTCTTCCTCCAAGTAGGAGGGAATAACCCAACAAATCTCCCCCTCACTCCTACTTGGGGGGCTCGACCAACCCCGCTTTCAAACGACATGAAACAAGCTTTTCCTTGGGTAAGGTCTTCGTCAACATATCCGCTCCATTTTTGTTAGTATGGATCTTCACTAGCTCAATTGACTTTTCTTCTATCGCTTCCCGAATCCAATGATATCTTCTCCGAATGTGCTTGGTCCGTGAATGATAGGTAGCATTCTTGGCAAGGTGGATGGCACTTTGACTATCACAGTGGAGTAGGTATTTTTCTTGCTCCAAACCTAACTCCTCAAGAAAATCTCTCATCCATATTATCTCCTTACCTGCTTCAACGGCCGCCATATACTCGGCCTCGGTGGTCGAAAGAGCAACACACTTTTGCAGTTTTGATTGCCATGATACAGCTCCCCCTGCAAATGTCATCAAGTATCCAGAAGTAGACTTGCTAGAATCAAAATCACCCGACATATCTGCATCTGTGTAGCCATCCAACACAGGTTGTCCCGGGCCAAAACATAAGCTCACTCTAGAAGTACCTCTAAGATACCTGAGAATCCACTTCACTGCTGCCCAATGCTCCTTTCCAGGATTAGACATGAACCTGCTAACAACCCCAACAGCATGAGCTATATCCGGTCTCGTGCATACCATTATGTACATCAAACTTCCAACGGCGGATGCATAAGGCACATTTTTCATTTCTTTTCTTTCATCATCACTTGCAGGACATTGACTTGAATTCAAATTCATGTTTCCTGCAAGTGGAGAGCACACAGGTTTAGCCTTGTTCATGTTGAATCTTTGCAGCACCTTCTCGATGTACCTTTCCTGTGATAACCACAACTTCTTGTTTTTCCTATCACGGGAAATGTGCATGCCCAAAATTTGTTTTGCAGGGCCAAGGTCCTTCATTGCAAAGGACTTGTTCAAACTAAGCTTCAAATTGACAATCTTGTTGGTATCACGACCAACAATCAACATATCATCAACATACAACAAGAGAATGAGTAAATCACCTTTGGCAAAATTCTTCACAAACACACAGTGATCAGCATGTGTCTTGTGGAAGCCATGATCAATCATGAATGACTCGAATTTCTTGTACCATTGTCGAGGTGCTTGCTTCAAGCCATACAAACTTTTCTTCAAGTGGCACACAAGTTTCTCTTTTCCCTTGACCTTGAAACCTTCAGGTTGCTCCATGTATATTTCCTCCTCTAAATCACCATGGAGGAATGCTGTCTTCACATCAAGTTGTTCAACTTCCAAGTCTAAGGTGGCAGCCAATCCAAGAACAACTCGTATTGAAGACATCTTCACAACTGGAGAGAAAATCTCATCAAAATCAACACCCTTTTTCTGCTCATAGCCTTTCACGACTATTCTTGCCTTGTATCTAGGTGGTTTTCCATCTTCTCCAGTCTTCAACTTGTACACCCACTTGTTCTTGAGTGCTTTCTTACCTTGAGGCAACTTCACCAAATCATAGGTGTGGTTCTCATGCAATGAATTCATCTCTTCTTGCATGGCATTGTACCATTCCTTGCTATGCTCATGTGACATAGCCTCATCGTAGCATTCTGGTTCTCCCCCATCAGATAATAACACAAAATCATTTGATGAGTACCTTGAGGAAGGTTGTCTTTCTCTGGTGGATCTTCTTACTTGAGGTTGTGGTGGTGGCTCTGCAACATGTGGCTCATTTTCAGGTTGCTCATCATCACCATTATCACCATTATCAGCATTGTTGTCACCATCTTGCTGCACTTCTCCCCCTTCAACTCTAGGGGTGACTTGTGGAAAGACAGGATCAATGATGACAGGAGCTTGAGAGGATGTTAGTTGCTTTGGCTTCTCAAAATCTTCAATGGTTTGATCTTCAAAGAATACAACATCTCTGCTTCGAATGACCTTCCTGTCAACTGGATCCCACAACTTGTACCCAAAATTATCTTCTGAGTACCCTAAGAAAATGCACTGCTTTGTCTTCTTATCAAGCTTGGATCGTTCATCTCTAGGAATATGCACAAATGCTCTGCATCCAAAAACTCTCAGGTGCTTGTAGGAGACATCTTTCCCTGTCCATACTCTCTGAGGAACATCACCATCAAGAGGAACTGAAGGAGAAAGGTTGATCAAATATACTGCAGTGATCAATGCCTCTGCCCAAAAGGACTTTGGCAATTTAGCATGAGAGAGCATGCATCGAATTCTTTCTTCAATTGTTCTGTTCATTCTCTCTGCAACTCCATTTAGCTGAGGTGTCTTTGGAACTGTCTTCTCAAGCTTGATGCCTTGACTTTTGCAGTAGCTCTCAAATGGACCTCTGTACTCTCCACCATTATCAGATCTTACAACCTTGAGCTTCCGACCTGTTTCTCTTTCAACTCTAGCCTGGAACTCCTTGAATGCAGAAAGTACCTGATCTTTTGTTTTCAACACAAAAACCCACACTTTTCGAGAATAATCATCAATAAAAGAAACAAAATATTGAGCACCACTATGTGATTTAGCATCCATAGAACAAACATCAGTGTGAGCAAGATCAAGAGGATACTTTCTTTTAGATGGGAGGCGAGAATGAAATGCAATCCTATGTTGCTTTCCAGCTAAACAATCAACACAGGATTTAATGGACATACCTGACACATCAGGGAGATATTGCTTCTTAGAAAGCAAATGCATGCCTTTCTCGCTCATATGACAAAGTCTCTTATGCCACAGGTTGCTAGAAGAATCATCAGCTACATTTGCCTCGCCTCTACAAATTTTAGCTTGCATCACATAAAGGGATCCTTGCTTCTTGGCTTGGGCCACTCTTAGATTTCCTTTGCAGAGCTTCCATTTTCCATCAACAAAGTGACTGGAGTATCCATCATCATCGAGCAATCCAGTGGAGATCAAACTCAATCTGATGTCGGGCACATGTCGAACATCTCTCAACACCAACTTGCAACCAGTGGAGCTCTCTAAGCACACAGTACCCATGCCAATGATCTTGGATGATCCACCATTTCCCATTCTAACACTACCATAATCTCCGCTAGTGTAAGATGAGAAGTACTCCTGGTGTGAGGTAAGATGATATGAAGCACCCGAATCAATCACCCAAGTGCAATCATCACAAGCAAGGTTTAAGTAACCTTGATCACCAATGAAGAGCAAATCATCACCAAATGCTAAGGCTGTGGTGTTTCTCTCTTCTGATGGATGCTCGGAGGATTCACCTTTTTCTTTTCTTTCCTTGGACTTGTCCCTTTTCATCTTTCTACAAAACTTTTGAATATGACCCGGCTTGTTACAATAATGGCAAATGACTTTACCTGATCTGGACTTAGATCTTCCCCTGGACTTGTCTCTGTTTTGGGGAAATCGATTCTTGCTTCTTCCCCTATTGTCATCGTGCACCACATTAGCTTCTGACTTATTGGAGAAGCCCATTTCCTTTCTTCTTGTCTCTTCATTTAGAAGACTAGCTTTCACAGATTCCATGGTCAACTTTCCTTCTGGAGCGGAGTTGCTAAGAGACACGACAAGTGTGTCCCAAGTATCGGGCAAAGAAGAAAGAAGTAGCAGTGCCTGCAGCTCATCATCTAAAGGCATCTTGGCTGCGGCTAATTGATTTACTAGGCCCATAAATGTGCTGGTGTGAACCACAATGCTATCTCCATCTTTATACTCCAACTTCACAAGCTTTCTCATCAACGACGCTTTGTTTAGAGCATTTTTCCGCTCATACATTCCTTCTAGCTTATGCCACAACTCATAAGCATTGGTGTCATTTGCAATATGTTGAAGTACACTTACATCAACAAACTGTCTGATCGTTGCAACTGCTTTCCGGTTCAAAATCCTCCAGTCGGACTCAATTTTTCCTGTTGGTATCTCCTTGTTTGTGATTGGCTCATAAAGATCTTTCACATACAACATATCTTCCATTTTAATTTTCCAATCTGAGTAATTACTGGAGTTCAACACAAACATTCCCGGAAAACTATTCTTTTCTTCCATCTGAATCGTAGCTCTGATACCACGATGTTAAGGAAAGTGCACACAGAATACACAATGGCAAGCAGAAGCAAAATATTCACACTTTCCCAATTTTGTTGTCAGATGGGAAAATTCAACCAATCTTAAATCAGATAAATATGGACAGTAACAAAGCAAGTATTAACAGCCCAGAAATGATAAATAAAGCACACCAGGATTTACGTGGAAACCCCAATGAGGGGAGAAAACCACGGGACCGGAGACCGGTACCAAACTCTTCCACTAATCACCAGTAAAATAAGTGGGTACACCAATTGTCTTCTCTAGATAATAGAGGCACATATAATCATCAAGGAACAACCTTGGAACAACAAATCTCCATAAACTTCACTCACAAGTGATAATCAACTAATTTTATGAAGATTAGGGCTGAAAATAAAATACCGACTTTGGAAGCTTGAAATGACAATCCAACCGTTGGATATGAAGCTTGGGATGACAGGAACAATGTGTCAAAATTTGGCTGCAATCAGAGCACGTTTGACCCTCGATCAAGCGGCAACACTAGAGCTGCTCCAAGAAGAAAATCAGCCTCAAACTCTCTTTTTGCTCTCTGTTTTTTTTTTTTCGTGTGTCTTCTGCACTTTCCCAGAAGCTTCCAGCAGGTCCTTTTTATTCAACTCAGTCCCTTACAACTCCTTGTTGGGTCATAACAAATTATAACATATATGGGCCCAAGACACAAGTAACCCCATATGAAAAAAAAACAACACAATGCAAATAGCCCATATTAAAATAATGGGCTCTTCCTCCAAGTAGGAGGGAATAACCCAACATTTTCATAGGTAGGTGAAGATGGAAAGGTCCAAATCTGCAAAGAATTTTCCTTTCCTCAAGCTAGAATTTTATGCAGAAAACCCTAATCCCAAAATTCTTGAATTTGTTCTCGTTCTGATCCAAATTCGACACTAATTTGATCCTCTGCTGACTCCCTCTCTCTTCCTCCTCAAAATGGTATATTCCCCTCAAATCTTCTCTTTTGAAATCAATTCTTTTTGCGTTTCTTTTCCAATGCAGAAAAGTTCAAATTTTTGTTGCAGATTCGATTTATTTTGCTCCAAAATAGGCAAGGAAAGACTCGGCTTGCTAAATACTACGTCCCTCTCGAAGAATCAGAGAAGCACAAGGTCGAATACGAGGTCTGATCTAACCTGGACATTTTCTTTGATTTTCGTTTTAATATTTATCCTTTTTGTTTGATTTGTTAGGTTCATCGGTTGGTGGTCAACAGGGATCCTAAGTTCACCAATTTTGTTGAGGTATGTTGCGAAAAGATGGAATCTTTTTCTTGAATTGTTAGGTTTAAGTAAATTTTTAATAGGCTACATTCAATGATGCTTCTTTATACTTAAACTTCAAGTGAAAAAGTTTGCGTATTGATATTAAAATTGTTCAATTGTAAATGGTGATTATAAGTTGACACTTCACATTAAGTTGACACTTCAAATGTGATTCTTTTTTCATAAAAGTTTGAAGGAGAACACTTTTAGAAGCATTTTTTTCTAACTGTGCTGTGATAAGGAGTGTGAAATCAAATTTATAGGCAAATTTCATGGAGTTTCTTCTTTGAGGACAGCTTACGAGAGAAGGAAAAAATACCATCTAAAAATAAATTTGGTTTCATGCTGGGTAAGATGATATTGGATGCTATTTACATACTAAAATAATGTATTGAAATTTCTAGAATCAAATATATTTTCATGTGGTTGTTATTGAATTAGGAAAATAAATTGTTAGGTCCCCAAGAAACTAATATGGTGGATTAGAAAAGAAATAAGCTTCAAGCATTTACATTGTTGTGATTAAGGACATACGTCAGGCTAGAAACAGTGGTTGAAAATTGCTAAGGATAACCAAAGTAAGGACATACTACGTCTTAGACTTCACTGAGGATTAGATTAGGTACTTTTACATATGACCGACGGATGAATCTATTAAACATAAGATATCCAAGGTAAAAGTCTTTTGGTGCGTATTTTACGAATTTAAGATATTATAAAAGGGATAATTTAGTTGTACAAAGGCGGTGAGAAGTTTTAGAATCTAAAGGGGTTCCAAATAGCAAGATAAAAATATGCGATACAACTTTATTAGCATGACCATGTGAAGAACTGATAATGTAGAGCATTGTTGGCCTAGAAATATCGGGGAGTAACCATTTTCCTTATTCAAGGTTAACTACTAATCATAGTGTTGAAATTTATGTTGGTGTCATCCATAAATCAAGGGAGGATGTTCAATATGGAGAAGTTCCTTGAGATTATTATGTTTCAAGATTTAAGAGGCCGTTTGTAGGACTCATTTTTACTTAAAAATATATATTTTTTAGCAAACCGTAAGCAATATGTTTAGAAGATGAAAATATTGAGATGGACAAATGGCAAAACATTGGAAAATAGGATAAGTGATGAATGCATTTTACGATGTTATGGGAGTTCTGTCTGAGGATTACAGAGGATATGTTAAAACGGATTGGGCATGTGTGACAGAAACGTCAAATGGACGGTTAGGAAAATACATAGGATCATCCTTGATAGAGCAATGATAAGTGGAGGTAGACTTAAATGGTCATTTATCAATGTGGAAGGATAGTGTTGCAGTAGCACTTAATTTAAAATAGATGGCTTAGCACATATCAGTGTTGTCAATGCGCAATGTGGGGCGCAGAGTCCCTTACAAACACATGCCCAACATGCAAGACGATGAGCACGTCCAAGTGAAGCGAGGCGCACACTGCACATAGTTTTTTAATAGGGATAATCAAGTATGACAAAACATGTTTATAATTTTCACACAAAAATGTGTTAAGATAAATAATATTGACTACCAAATCACGTAAGGTCTTAATTCATAATGCTAACATGCCCAACATAGTAGGTAGTTCAAAATTTTCCAACTCAAAGGTCAAATTAAGAATATAGCGAAGCAAATCAAATAGTAAATGAGAATGAGTTAGGGGTCCTCAATGAGGCTATAAAATGGCGTGATGAGTTCATTTTTCTTTATGGGACTTGGTTATCGGGTATAAAAACCCATTTGAAATGTTAAAATGAGGCTATTACTTGCATGCGTCCTGTACGAATCGCCTTCACAATTGTGAGGTGCAAAAAGGTGCCGCCACATTAGATGTAGAGCTCTTAGCCACCACTCCGCATCCGAGGCCGCATGAGGCACAATGAGACGTGCGCCTTTGATAACATTGGCACCTAATCTTTTTTGTGCCTGTCATTATGGCATGAATCAGTACCTAAACGCGTGTGCCACTATAATGCTAATGACTCTGTGCTGCTGATAATATGTCACATGAAATTTAATAAAAAGAAAAGAGTGATATAATTAATAAGATCGAACTGCTGGGCAGTTAAAGAAACTTCTGATGTGTTAATAAGAAAACAAGTGCACATTTATGCAATATAAAATTGTAAATATTTGGTGGACATATAATGCTATTGAAAGACAATAAACAAGAGCTTTTGGTGAAGTTGTGTTAGTGCTGAAACTACAAAGTTGATGAAGAACTGAATAAGGCTTAGTACACATTCTTAAGAACTACCTATTTGAATTCATTTACTTCGATGTCCTGACATATTTATCGTTTCTGAATGCTATTATACTTCTGATTACAGTTCCGAACACACAAGGTTATCTACAGAAGATATGCTGGACTCTTCTTTTCCATTTGTGTTGATATAACTGATAATGAGCTAGCATACTTGGAATGCATCCATTTATTTGTGGAGATATTGGATCACTTCTTCAGCAATGTCTGTGAGCTAGACTTAGTATTTAATTTTCACAAGGTATGTTGAATTTATGAATCTTGTGTTTTATTTTGTTAAATTCCTTATATAATGATTGGCCTGTTAAGCAGATCTTTCTAAGGATCAGTTGTTTGCTAGTCTTAACCATCTTAACCATCTTTGATGTCATTAAACAATAATTGTCTACAATCTACATCTAACTACTGCTTGTGCATTGAATTATGTTTGCATTGTTGGTTTGGTTACAACTATACTTAGGTGTGTAACACTGTATGAGTATAGTTGTTTAGCAATTTTGTTTGATAACATGTCCTTTATTAAAGAATCATTAATAATCATCCATATTAAATCATTAATAATCATCCATATCAAACAACCTCCACGTATATCGGCTCTATTCCCAATGGATGGCATCACAAACTTGCTTTAAAGATCCCAAAGTTGCAAAAGGAAAGCAGATAAAGTTTTGAAACCTGATAACACAATTTTTTTTTACTATTCAGCATCTCATGCTTTCATTTATTTGCTTATTTTGGAAATGTGATTTTTTGGCACTAATGTACATACACCCCTTGTGTTGATGTGCCTTCTTATTTCAATCGTAGTGTTTTGGCTATTCTAGATTGTTTGCAGTGTAGAGAAATGTAGGTTGTTGCTTTCTTATTGGAAGCTTAAAATCTATGGAGCCTTAAAGGTTATGACTGCCTATCAATTTCCTGCATTTATGTTTGTACTATGTTCTCGTTTGCTCATTGAGAAGAACTATTTCATATACGATTGATGCAAGGTGGATGGTTCATAAAATCTTGAGAAGTTTTATGTGGGGGCCTGGTGCTTCTTAAATATATTCCAAGGCGGACCCAATGAAGTGGAAAAGGCTTGGATAATTATCATAAAAGTCATAGTCTCAATCAGGGGGTTCTGCGGTCGACACTGGCTTAGGTTTTTTAATTTTAAGACTACCTATCAGAGAAGCTAATCAAGCATTGAGGACATTATAAATGCAAAAACCTTCTGAGCAATTTTTACTCATCTCAATCCTTTCTAGAAGCTGCTTAACTTCTTACAGATGCACTCCTTTTCTTTTTCCTATTTTACATGATATTCCTTTATTATACGTATCCATATGAGTGTTTCGTTTCCTCTACACCCATTATTTGCCACATTTTTTTAATCATTTGGATCCATAAAGATTTGCTTGTTCTTTAACTGTTTTAGAGAAATTTCCTTCGACCTCATGGGTATGCGTTCGTTGATTCACTTCTACTTAGTTTTACCTACCTTCTATTGTGACGTTACTTTTACAGTGCACCAGAGAATGCTATTTTCTGTTGATAGCATTTAAGACTTTAGGTTACATACTTTTGCTTTTGACTCAAAAATTAGAAATTCAACCAGTAGATTCACTGAACAATCATCATTGGTGTTTGTTCTCATTATGATGTCCAATAATAAACTTTGTGGATCAACCTGGTTATCTTGCTGCAATTTTCTCTTACAGCATTCCTTGTTTAAAACCAAGTTGAGAGGATTAAAGCCGCTATATCACTGCTAACTCAGAACTATTCTAAGTCACAACGTGGGGATTTATGTTTCGTTGGCTCTGACATATTCCTTTTTCTTTTTCTTTTTCTGTGGTTATAGCAAGGTTATATTGCTGGTTAGGATCTTAAAAAAACTTCGTGGATCAACCTGGTTATCTTGCTGCAGTTTTCTCTTATAGCATTCCTTGTTTAAAACCAAGTTGAGAGGATTAAAGCCGCTATATCACTGCTAACTCAGAACTATTCTAAGTCACAACGTGGGGATTTATGTTTCGTTGGCTCTGACATATTCCTTTTTCTTTTTCTTTTTCTGTGGCTATAGCAAGGTTATTGCTGGTTAGGATCTTAAAAAAACTGCACTCGATGAATGTTCAAGGTCTGCAATGTCCTTCTGGGTCTAATGTTACCCTTTTCTAAGGAATCAAGTTATTCAGATTATTGGATGACTCTGTAATTCAGTTGAATGGCACAAAAAATGTAACTTTGATTCTTTTCTGTTAACAAAAAATGTAACTTTGATTATTGCTGGTTAGGATCTTAAAAAAACTGCACTCAATGAATGTTCAAGGTCTGCAATGTCCTTCTGGGTCTAATGGTACCCGTTTATAAGGAATCAAGTTATTCAGATTATTGGATGACTCTGTAATTCAGTTGAATGGCACAAAAAAATGTAACTTTGATTCTTTTCTGTTAACAATTACTATTACATGAATAACAGTGTACTGCATCATTTTTCCTGAATTGTTCATGGCATCTTCTGCGTGTTGAATAATTACAGATTTTTCTTTGGCTACTTTTAGTTTCTTTTAACTTAACCTACAAGTACTCACACTACTCTTTCCTGTGAAGGTGTATTTGATACTTGATGAATTTATTCTTGCCGGGGAGCTGCAAGAAACAAGCAAGAGGGTAAGGTTTCTGTAATGTTTCCCATTTCTTACTTCTTGATTTGGAATCTTCCTTGTGTGTAGGTTTATTTATGCGGTCCTTTAGTACAATGAGGCTACATTGTCCATGATCTTGAGAATGTAGTTATCTAGTTGCAGATAACTTGGAAATGAGACACTTAAGAACTACTATTTGAGTCCCTATACCTAATATTCGTGTTTAGTTGATAGCCCCCAAATAGTCCTTCGGTGATAAATTCAAATATGCGGGTCGGCTCATAGGTTCTCCTAGATATGAATTTGCTTGAAACTTAGGTCACCTTATGCTTGGGGGTAAGTATGTTTCTTTCTTGTTCGTGAATCCTTTCTTGATGTTCACAAAGGACATTCTGTTGGTAGGATCAATAGCCGCTTATCTTTTTTATTCGTAGATTGTATCACGTTTCTTAATGGTAAAAGTTGTTATGCCTGTTAATGTTACTATGTCAAAATTCAGTCACATGGTCCCTTGATGCAACTGTAAGTAATTTCCTCCTCTCTACTCCAGACTCAACATAGCCAGAAGTTGAGGTATAAAGGGAGTGGATACAGTATGGATACCCCAAGAACCACAGAATAAAATATTATTTGCATAGTAGTCAATTCATTAGTCTTATCTGCGTGATCTGTTTAAAATTTTCAGGCCATCATTGAGAGAATGGGGGAGTTGGAAAAACAAGAATGACAACTTGATCCAAAAATGTCGGCAAGCTGATTTATTGTAGTTCAGTTATATGTTACTGTTGCGTGTAAATCCAGTTTTAAAAAGGTATCAAGAGAATTATAAGAGAGAAATTATTGGTTGCCTTCATTTGTTGTTTGATTGGTGGATTTGTAGAATTTATCACATTTTCTGTGAATTAAACATCTTCTTTGATCTTTTCCGTAAGATCTGTATCTTGCTGAGTATCTCACTATTGCGTAGAAGTTGTTTTATCAAGGATCAGAGCTGCATAATTTGCTGAACAAATTGTATTTGATCTGATTGCAGTTGTGGAACTTCATCTTATTTGGATATTGAATTGTATTCTTAAACCAAAACTATATGAACTCAAGACACAAATGATTAATTAGGTGTAGCTTTGTACATAATTATTAGCTATGGGGGAATGAATGAATTGCATAGGCATTTGTTCATGAATCATGTAAGATGTTAGAATTCAATGCAATGTGTAAAACAACACTGTGATGGACTTCTTATGTATGTAAAAGAACTTGTATATCAGCATTAAATGCATCCTTAACTCTATCGATAAGCAAATTTAGGGTTCATATTAATAAAAAGGACTCCTAGGTTAAGATTTGACCAGAGGTCATCAACTATGACTCATAAAAGATATTTGATTTAGTTTTTCACATTTGTTTATATTGTCTAACATGCAAAAATCTATAAGCTCTTAATTGGGTAGAATAATTAAAATGTAAGACTTATGTGTTTGTCAGAAGAGAATATATTGTGATATCCCAAGATGTGTGTTTATAAATTATAATACAGACTATAGTTTTACATTGAATAGACCCAGCCCACATTTCCTTTTTAGGGCATGCATATGTTCATATGTGGCCTAAGATACCAAAGTTTGGATCAATTTTGGGACTCACAAAAGTTTAAAGAAGGTAGGGTTGGCTACCTTTCGGTTATTTTGATTCCTTTGCTCATATTATAAAAAACCCTTAACCAACGTTAGAAGCTTATGCTCTGTCAAAATTTAAAGGGTTATTTGATATATACTCCTTAAATCATGGGTCTTTGCAAAACTACTCCCCACATTTTAGTATTTGCTCAAACCACCAACTTTGTGAAAAAAGAAACCCATAAAATCAACAAATCATTTAACTTGGTGCTAAAAATTGACTATTCTGTTGATAATTTTTACATTGCGATTACAAATTAGCTTATAAAAGTTGACGATTAATTGCTTTGAGGCTATATTTTTTTCTCCAGAATTGATGATTTGAGGGGTGGTTTTGCAAATACAGAGAGGGCATTTTCGCAATTACGATGATTTAGGGGGCATATATGCGTACAACCCAATTCTAAAATGAGATTAAGATTTAGTTTATTATTTTGTTACTAGCATTATCTCATGGCAAATAATAAAAGAACTTGGCTTGCCTCTTTTGGACGCCACCCATCATTTCGATGGGGGCACTCAAGGATCGATCCCAATACCACCCAAAATTCTAACACTATTCCTTCTTATAAAGTCCTAACCTTAACTATTAGTTTTATCCTAACACTATTCCTTTATATCATTCACATCGTCTAGTTTTTTTTTCACTTTTGCTTCTTAAAGCCACGTGAACCGCTATGAAGATAACATATTTGAGCTCTTGTTTGTGAAGCTCAAGTTTATTCTGCATGTTCATACCATTTGCCAGCAAGTGGACAATTACTATATTGCCCCTAGTATTATAATCAAACTTGGATCCTAGAGCATATGCACTCTAATTTATTAGGGGAAATAAAGAAATTGAATTATGAATAATTCTGGCATACGGAATTCTAACTACAAATGCAACTTACAACGTTGTAGATATAGTTGCAGCAGTTGCAACTGTTTGTTTGTTTCACTGCAATTAAGATTTAAGGTTACCGCATTAGATGTATGGATCAGATCCACGAAACATTATACTGATTTCAATTGGATTTGTCACAAATCTTCTCTCTCTTGATATTCTCAATAAAATCCATGCATAACTAAACAAAAATATAGTTGGATCCTTGATGTAGACACTCTCCAATAGTGAATACTAACAGATAAAGATCTTGAGTATGGACTTTCAAAATTCATTACACGCATGCAACGAAATTCTTGGAGATGCAGTCCACAAACCAAACAATCCCTCACAATGAATCCAATAGATAGAATAGAAATTTCTTTTTATGTAATCATCATCATCCTTCGTGAATATCTTTAATTTTTTGGATTAAATTGTTAATGACATATCGGTGGTCGGTTTTGTGAGGGGAAGAAGAGTGAGGTTTAAGTGGAGGAGAAGCATAACCGCATAAACCCAAAAAGAGGAAAGGCACCCAAAGATGGATTGAAAAAAGGAAAAGAGTGATGGGCGGATCAAAAGGTAATGGGCCAGCCCAAGTCATCCTGTGCTTCTACGTGGAGAGAGACCTTTTGGGGGCACGTGCTAAAAGCGCGTTATTTCGTGTTGGGCCCCCCACCCCTGATATTATATTGCTAGGCGCCGTAGCTCTCCACCCTCCTCCTCGCTCCTTTTCATGTGCTTGTTCTTAACAGTTTTAACTGTCACCTTGAGGATCTTGAGAAATGTTGCCCTACCGATTGATGTGTTAAATCAATGAAGTTAATTTTGATAATCCATAGTCTAATCTTAACTTTTCAGATATGTCAAACGTACTGATGGACGTTCATTTGAGAAATTTAGGATTAATTATATTCAGGTATCTTGAGGTAATGTGTAATCACACGGTGACCCTGAAGTTTGTGTATTTACACCGATAGTTTTGAGATTACTGATATTACATTTACACAAATAACCCTAAGAAAAAAAAAAGCTAACAATCACCCACGTCATTACAATCAATAATCTTAGGACTATAATAAGTGTAGATACAGCAGACTCGGGGTCACCATGTTATTATATGATACCTCATATAACTACTTACGTGCAACTAATCTAGAAGTTTGTTACACTTAATCATCTTCGCTATCACGTACATTATCTATGTAATTTTCAACCTTATTTATTTTTCTTATATCCGTTTTATTTTAGTGTGCATTACCACTTATCTCATCTGCAATCATATTTCAATTCTATCCATGTTCATACCCGTATTCACAATTAGTATATGATTAGTAATGAAATTATAAGTTTGCTTACTATGTCAGGGCATGTCTAACCAAAGTTTGTTTGAAAGACCAGCGGATCCGAGGTAACGTTGGAACCCCAGCTTGATGGCTTCTAAGCATAAAAAATATAAATGATATTTGGACAATACATAGTAACGTCTGCTGATCTTTTTGTTGTGACTGATGCTTTGAGAAACCAAACCAACGAACGCCGAGAGAAAGACCAAACAAAACACAAACACCAAGGTTTTACGTGGTTCGGCAAATTGCCTACGTCCACGGGGCAAGAAGGGGGTGGGTTTTCACTAATAGAGAAGGAGAGTACAAATTGAGATTACAAATCGCTCAAACGAACCAACTAATCTCACCAACAAATCTCTCAATCTCTCAACCAATAACCCTAACAAATAGCTCAGAAAGATCTCTCTTTTTCTGTGCTCCAAAACCCCAAAACTCTCCCCACAAAACCCTCAAATCGTATTGGTATTTATACCAAAACAGAAACCCAAACAGACTGCAAATAGGAACCTGAACTTTCCAAAAAACCCGTCATAAGTCGACTTATCAGTCTGCATAAGTCGACTTGGCAGAGCGAAAAACAGCAACTGGAGAAGAGATCATAAGTCGACTTATCAGACCTGATAAGTCGACTTGGCAGAGCAAAAAACCAACAATCCAGAGCAGAACGTAAGTCGACTCATGCACCAACATAAGTCGACTTAACATAAGTCGACTTATGCCTGTGCATGAGTCGACTTATGACCAAAATTCTGCTTTTTCCAATTCTTCTCCACAATTCTCCACCTCGGCGAAGTTTTCCCAAAACTGAGCCGACACCAACCAAACAAATGCCTCACATGCTGAGACCCAAATGAGAGTGTGAACACTCACCCCAAATGTCGATGTCGCTCACCAAATCGGCTGCATCAAAATGACTGCCTACGTATCCTTTGCCCAAGGAATCAAGCCTTCACGTAGTTCACCCAAACGGCCTCCAAAGGCCCTCAATCAAATAGAAAAGTCTGCAACTCTTCTCCAATATCACCAAACGATCTGCAACTGATAGTATTCCCAATGACCCCAAATTGAGACAAATCAAACACCTCCACCTGAGGTAAACCAATGGCCATATCCAAACTATATCTACCAGCTGCAACTGAATCCAAAACCAATCCATCATCTGCATCCAAAACCAAATGATCTCCAACCTGTGTCACCTTAGCTGGAATCCCAAATGACGCAGTATGATCTGGAGTATGTGGAGTAATCTCCACCCAACGTGGAGTAGCATCACTCTCCACCTGCTGCGATATCCAAATGACCTGATCAACACTCTCCACCTGCCGAGAGTCAAAAGTGACATACCTGCTCAGAACAAAATCAGAAGCTCCCAAACGATAATCAACTGAGCCTCCGAACCCCAAACGCGCAATCGGATCCAATCTCACATCCACGATGTGACCAAATGCTGGGTATCCAAATATCCGACGCGACCCAAAATCTGAAGCAGCTCCACCAGATCTAATAACTCCTAAAGCAGCAGTCGGCGACCTATGCATAAGATGACCCAAATATGTCGAAGCCCGCACACCAATGCCAATGCTCGACATCAAACGCCGATCCTCCTCCAGAAAGGAACGACCCATCGAAACTGTCATCTCATCTCGTCGCCCCAAAGTCTCCACACCAATGAAGTGTCTCCTATTGCCGTGAGCTCGGCACCAACGCAAGAAAGGACCCCTACCAAAGCTGAAACAATGAGTTACCTTTCTGCCAATACACTTCTTCCAATTGTTGTTGACTTCTAGGACTTTACACCAACGGGAACTGGTCGCGACCCAATAATGCCTAGAACAATCACCAACTGTGGAAACCAAGATACGATTACCTCCCAATGATGCCTCCTTGGAAGGCCCCCAAATGCCTGACTGAACACCTCCAAAAAGACCCCTCGCTCGATGGATAGAAGTGCCAAACTCCACCACGGTCTCGCTCATCCTAATGTGCTCACAGGACTTCAATCTGCAGGTCATAGCACTCCTCAACAACCAATGCACGGTATTACCAATCATATACCCCAGCACCAAACAATGCCACAGTCTAGCCGAATCTGATGAAGTCGTCATTTCCCTATCAATCACCGTGCTTCCGTGCAAATAATACAAATTTCTTCTTCTGACGCCCTTCATCACAATCATGGACCCAAATGTAACCTTCAAGCGTGCATCCGCCAAGGTCACCCTATAGCCAGCTGCCTCCAAAGCTCCAAGTGAAATGATGTTCTTCTTCAACTGAGGAACGAACCTCACTCCAACCAACTCCCGAATCACCCCGTCACTCATCCTGATCCGAACAGTACCAATACCACCAATAGAGCATTTGTGATCATTCCCCATGAGCACGAAATCCCCTCTTTCCAACTCCTGAAAGCTGGAGAACCAATCCCTCCTAGGGCAAATGTGGTATGTAGCACCCGAATCCAATATCCACTCTGTAGAGTAGGCAACACAAACTGACGGCAGTGCAGATAACGAGTAGCCCGAAGAATCCGAATCTGAATCGTTGCCACTAGCCTTGACAACATTCGCCTCTGAAGCTTGAATAGCTTTTCCCTTATTCTTCCCGGCTCGATCAACTAACTTTGGGCAATCGGCTTTCCAATGTCCATCTTCTTTGCAAAAGGCACATTGATTCTTACGAACTCCAAGATGTGCCCCTCTAGACTGCGACCTCCCACTACGGTTTGGACCCTTTGCTCTTGCGACCAACGCCCCCGCTACCGGCTCAAACGAAGTCTCCTTATCCTTCTTTCGAAGCTGATAATTCACAAGTGCAGCGGTGACCTCACTATACGAAAGAGATGCCTTCCCATTAATAAGAGTAAGAACGAAGGTCTCATATTCCTCGTCAGGCAAGGAACTCAATAGCAACAACGCCTTGTCCTCATACGTCCGTAGGTGTATTTGATCGTTTCTCCCGTAGATTCTTCGTACGAACTCGGATTTGAGTGATTCCGGGTGCGTTGGATGCGTGACGAAGAGTTCGATCCGCTCTGATGGTTGGATTGTCTTTAGAGTGGTCGAGGCACGGAGGGCATTGTCCTTTTCGTGAGCAGTGCCGGGGTTTCCCGTCCAACTCCAACGTATCTTCCAAATTTTGCGCGTTGAGCGCATCCATGACTTCGCATCGCCAAAGTCCAAAATTGTTTGTGCCATTGAACTTTTCCACATCAATCTTCATTGAGTGGATATTCAAGCTTTGGACGGTCTTCACGCCGGAAGTACTGCCCACAACTCCTTCTTTCTCGGCCATAATCCTCAAGGCACCACCAAACCAATGCGGAAACAAACGAGAAATAGATCCAAACTGAAAAAGACGAGATTTTTACAAAAAAAGATCCCACCTTTATCACCAAACGAAGCCCTAGATGAACTTCCAAAGCGATCTACTCCTCCAAATAGCCCAAGCGTTGCCCGTGCTCTGATACCACTTGTTGTGACTGATGCTTTGAGAAACCAAACCAACGAACGCCGAGAGAAAGACCAAACAAAACACAAACACCAAGGTTTTACGTGGTTCGGCAAATTGCCTACGTCCACGGGGCAAGAAGGGGGTGGGTTTTCACTAATAGAGAAGGAGAGTACAAATTGAGATTACAAATCGCTCAAACGAACCAACTAATCTCACCAACAAATCTCTCAATCTCTCAACCAATAACCCTAACTAGGGTTACGCGTTGACCGGCGTTGAACCTTAGGGTTTGAATCGTCGAACGTTGACTTTTGTTGCAACACGTTGATTGGCGTTGACCTGGGGTTACACGTTGACCGACGTTGAACCTTAGGGTTTGAATCGTCGAACGTTGACTTTTGTTGCAACGCGTTGACTGGCGTTGACCTAGGGTTACGCGTTGATCGGCGTTGACCCTTAGGGTTTTGAATCCAGAGCAGAACGTAAGTCGACTCATGCACCAACATAAGTCGACTTAACATAAGTCGACTTATGTTGGTGCATGAGTCGACTTACGTTCTGCTCTGGATTGTTGGTTTTTTGCTCTGCCAAGTCGACTTATCAGGTCTGATAAGTCGACTTAGCAGAGCAAAAAACCAACAATCCAGAGCAGAACGTAAGTCGACTCATGCACCAACATAAGTCGACTTAACATAAGTCGACTTATGCCTGTGCATGAGTCGACTTATGACCAAAATTCTGCTTTTTCCAATTCTTCTCCACACTTTTACCTTCATTTAGAGCCTGTTTCTTTGCATGAAAATAGCACATAAGTAACTGAGCTAGAGAAAGTTTCTCCTACTTCAAACAAAAAATTATGTTTGTTTCTTCGAAAAGACTACTTCGGTTACTTCCATAAATACAGATGTGACGTCTAGGTGACACTCTTACTTCCTAGATTTTTTTCCGCCCTTGAAAGCTCAGAAGTAGAGGGGAAATTGATAAAAAGTGTGGTCCACTTAAATTAGAGATTTACCAAGGGCAGATGATCTTAAAAAATATATCCAATTTCTATCCAAACAAACAAACAAATAAAAGAAGATGATGAAGTATTATTTTCGCTACTTCTAAAAATATATGAAACAAACAAAATAAATACTACTTCCGCTATTTTCTACTTCATAATTGAGAAAATTATATTTTTGATCAACTTGTTTACTTCTAATAGTTACGTCCATCCAAACGGCCCTTAAGCCACAAGCCAAGCCAGCCTTCAAAGCACAAGTCCCTGTATGAACAGGCCACTGACTGTCAATGCCGCCAAAGTTCTTCAGAATCTGGGTCCCTCCCCTTTACAGTCGAAGCTGACTAGACACTGGC